ATTGTGTTACTAATTACTAATAAATAGTACCGAATTACTTTTTATGGAAAGTAATGTGTTCCGTTACTTTTGCATTACTCTTTCTCAACTGGGCTGGGCCTCCTTGTTTGTATTTTAATAACAAAAAAAGTTATATTTTTGGCAAATGTAATGGCCCTTTAACACTAAAAGTGAAACGAATACGCCTCAGGCTGAAGGAAATGCCACTGAAACAAACCTTTCAGCTGTGCTGCCATTCTGGATTGCAGAAGAATAGGACATACTTCAGCAATAAAAACAAACAAAACAAAAACAAATGTGATGTTTATCTAAAGTCCTTTTTGCTTAGTATGGTTGAATTGGATCATCAAAGGTCAGCAGCAAAGACATTGGTTCATAAAGTGAGATTAAACAAAGTATATTTGTGTTATTTAACATATTTAATTATTGCAGGTTTGTGTATTATTCTGAGTTTGCATTTCACAGTTTTTATTTATTTTGAGGAATTCTGAATCTGTTTTTGTGCAAGTGAGATGAGTAAATGCTCACATTTAGAACTGCAATAAGCATCATGTTCACAGCGCACACAAAGACTTTTCTCAAGAGGTGTCAGTAAATAAATGGTAAAATAAACTAACCTGCATTACTTATTTGAAAAAGTAACTCGGATATTTTGTTGTAAATTTAAAAGTAATGGGTTACTTTATTAGTCACATGGCAAAAGTAATCTGATTACTAGGGGGAATATAGAGGTGTAACTCTCTTTTTCTGCCCACAGGGGGGGTTCTCAACTTCAGAAGAGATGTGTTTGTCTTTCCTCTTCTACTATCCAGCTATGAATCTGAGCAGTTGTGTGAGCTTCCCTAATTTACAGACATTAGGATCTGCAATGGGAGCAACAGATACAAGGTAATCTAATTTAAAACATTGTTAACTAACAGATGTGTAAACTAATAAAAAACAGCTCTCAATATTTGCCCTAATGATAATGTGGCTTTTATTTGATAACTTTGCAGTACCTGGCTCAATATGATGTACACAAACACTTGGAATGACACGTCTATCAATCAATACCAACAAACACTGAAGAGAATTGATCAGCTAGTCATAGTTGCTGATTCATTTGTAAGTGTCCACACCTCTACAATAGGAATGAAGCCTTTAAACATGTTTCTGTTCTGACCTCAGCTGTTACCTGACACCTTTTTCCATGTGTATTTCCAGAGCAACAGGTCATACAACCCAGGGATGATTCCTGATCTCAAAGTCATCCCGTCTGAACCCTGCATGAGCGCTTGTGCCATCAAAAGTTTTTCTTTGATATCACTGCTCCTCTGTTTGGCAGTGCATCGGGCTTCTTTATGAAATGTTTATGCAAAATACTAAACCTGATGTAACCTGATGTTCTTTCAGTGTCTGTGATGATATAAGTAAATCAATTTAACAAGCAACGACTCCTGGCTCCCAGCAGGGACATACTTGACAGCAACCTAAAAACCAGAATAACATAGAATTAAACTTAATATATGATATATAGATTTTTTAGCAAATTATATCAGGATGGAATTGGACTTTACATTTTACTTCCATTGGTTTACTTTCAGATCATATCTATTATAAATAAAATGTGAATATATAGAATATTTTCAAAAACAACAAAAATGGCAATAATAATTATGATTATTATTTTTTTTTAAAAACCCCATTTATTTAGCCAATAGATGTGAGTGTTTATGCAGTGGTAATGCATATAAAATGGTAGACGTGTGCTTATAGCGCCCTCTAGTGAGAAGAATAGACTGTCAACTGCTTGCTTAAAGGGATAGTTAACCCTAAACTGAAAATTCTGTCATCATTTACTCACCCTCTTGTTGTTCCAAACCTGTATGAATTTATTTCTTCTACTGAACACAAAAGAAGATATTTTGAAGAATATGGGTAACCAAACAGTTAATGGGCTCTATTGATAGACCTATGGTCTATTGACCATAGTAACGAAAAAACAAAAAAAAAAATTAAGTCATGATCCATAAAACAACAACAGCGTGAGTGTGCTGATAAACATTACGCAGTTGTCCACATCTGTCCAGAAACCAGGGATAAGGTGGATATTACGTCATTGACAGGCGACAAATTGGGACGGGCACTATTTAAAATTGTGAATTCCTCTATATTTACAAATTTTTGGAAACATTTAGGATAATGTAAGTACATAATTTAAAGAAATATATAACACTGTGAAAGTGGTTTTTGGATATTTTGATACAAAAATTCGTACATATTGTACCTTTAAACGCTCGTTTGTTGAGGTGGACAGCTTATAAAAACTTTTAGCTTGTTTGCTGTACACCTTGTCACATGGGAGCTTTTAGCTTTACATTGTTTTTTTGTGTTTTTTTTATAAGTCAGAAATGACAAGGAGGCAGCTTCTCGCAATGTAAAGTCAATGGAGACTTTTTTGGAGGTTGGATTGTTTTCCCCGGTGTGGGCGTGGCCTAGATGCGCTCTGTCTGCTGGGCTGCAGCCTGCGGTGGACATCCAACCCCGCCCACTTCTAAATGTGACGTTGAAAGCCACGCCCATGTCCAATATGTCACCTTCCTTGTGACCTTGTGACTCGCTTTGTTGTATGCAATTTTCCCTGTGCAAAAATTGCGCTGCTTCCTGTCGGAAGAATGTAGAAGTAGCCTAAATGTTATCTTTCGTAACTAATCTTTCGATAGCTAATACATGATTTATTATTTTTGTAATGAATGTCTTGGCTAAAAAGGCACAATTTAAATCTAGGACACCCTAGAAAAAGAATGTCTAAATATACGGAGCTAATTTCCTCATCAAAACAGCCAGTAAAACGCTTGCACTGTTTGATTAAAGTTAGACTAATTGTTAATAAAAAAAAATAAGGTATACCTTACCTTATTAATTTATGTAATGAGATAAATTAAAATTTATTATGATCGATTTTGACCAACCTAACGTTTTAAAGGTGCAGTATGTAAGAATGACAACTAGTGGTCGAAATAGGTACTGCAGTCGTTTCTCCCACCACCTGCTCCTCAGACAGGACGGCGCTCACACGGGTTGCCAGTTTGAGCACACGCAACAGGAACGAGCGCAATGGACAATGAAAATTGGCAAATTGTCAATGTGCAGTATCATAGACCAAAACAATAACAAACATTCCAGCCTGGAAACGCATATTTCAAAGTTAAATAACTGGCTGTAAAAGTGTTTTTCTGAGAAACGAGTATGTGAACTTAGCATGTTTCCTCAATATATGCAAACATATTATGGTATTTTTATACTTTAGTTGAGTGAAAAAGTTACATATAGCACCTTTAAATGTCTCAAATTTAAGTGGACTATTAGATTTTGGTTGTCACGCTTAACATATTTTCATTAATTTATAATTTTCATTTAATTTTCTAAAGATATGTTCCACTTATCATAAAGTGTGAACATTAAAATGATCGGATCGACAGTTCTCGATATGCAGTATATGCTACACATAGGCTAAATAGAGAGAGATTGCTTGCTTTGATTGATTATACAACTTAAGTGATCATCCCCCTAGTGATGGGGATTCAAATCCGAAAACAAGAGGATATGCGTTGATGTTACTTTCCCGCCAGAATACGCCCCCTCAGCCGGACTGAGTGGCAAAAGATCCTGCATGCTGCATGAATGGATTTAATATGGGAAACTGCGGAAATGTGAGTTAAACAAACAATTATCAGTTTAAACTAAAAGTTTGACTCAACATCGTGTTCCTTCTGATCCAGTGATCCATGGATATTGACATGCAGCCCATTTTAGGTTTTGTGTGTTTTTTTGCGGCATTCACACTTTTTGCCACTCAGTGGGCGTAACTGCAGTCACTCTGGCCGACGGAGATGTCACGCACATACCCTCCACAGACCCTCTTATTTACAACATGACAATCAGACTTTCAGCAAACAAACATGAAGGATGCTCGGGCCAGTTAACAGGCCAGCACTGCATTGTCACAAAAGTTTAAGTCTGGAGAATTTAAATATTCAAGCGCAAGAAGACACGAACGCGCTGTGTGAGAAGTTTAGACATCTGAAGTGAAAGTTCTTCTCCGACAGCACACAAAAACTGAATTGAGCTCTCTTTCACGTCTTCTTGCACTTAAAAGGACAAATAAATAAAAAATGTGTCAACAGTACCCGTCTCGGTGAGTATTAGTACATCGCCGGTTATGGCTTAAGTAAAACGTAAACAGTTGGGCGTTCACAATGATTCCTGGGTAGGTATAACTAGTGTGGAGAAAGTGCAGGCTTCGCTGAAGTCCGCATCGAGGGCACAAAGGCGGCGCTCGCGAGCACACTTCTGATCGCTGAAATGCCAAATGGGACACCCTGGCCTACGGACTCGTACACTTGGTGAGCACGCGTAATTTAAGGCCACGAGCTTGCAAGTCCACATGAAGTGTGCCATTTGGGATCCAGCCTATCTCTATATGGCTCTGGTGGTAAAGGATCGGTGCTCTTCTGAACGGAGGCGGGGAACAGCAGCTCATTTGCATTTAAACACACAAACACGGAGCGTTTTTGCTCACAAACAAGAAGGGGCAAATTTGACAAGCTATAATAAATGATCTGGGGGGTACTTCGAGCTGAAATTCCAGACACATTCTGGGGCACATCCTGACACATTGGCAGGTGTGCCAAAAAGTTATTTTTAGTATGCATATATTTTATACATATTTACATTTACAATTCAAATATATCACATCATATCACATTTTTCTTAAAGGAAGTCTTTAACTACATTGTAAACATTAACATTTAAAAGAGAAAACTTCCTGAGCTTTTTTTTGTTGTTCATTTCAACATTTCTTTCTAACAATATCCATGCTCAGTGTTTTCCAATAATAAAGTAACATCAGGTGATGTGGAACCTGATTCACCAGAGTGAGAGGAGGAGGACTGTGACTCCGGTGAGGGGGGACGGGTTACAGACCGCTTACAAAGAGTTCTGTTCAAGTGCCCTACTGAGCAGTTTCATGTACACTGTCTTCTCAAACATCTGACACAAAGACTTGAAAAGGTAACATGGGCCCATTATCTCTTGTCCTGCTCATGCTTTCAGCCCAGTGGTCCTGCGCTCAGGAAGACCCTCTTCTGCCATTCTCTGAACACCTGGACCCCGAGCACAATGTGCGGCTGAAGTGGGGCTTTGATGAGATCCAGGGCACCATCTTGTTCGAGCTCACTGTCAACACCAGCGGCTGGGTCGGGTTTGGCTTCAGCCCTAAAGGAGGAATGACTGGAGCCGATATCGTCATTGGAGGAGTTGGACCGAAAGGCAGTTACTTCACGGTAAAGTCAAAAAAGACTGACACTCATAACTGTCAAAGTCACTTACAGTGGATACTGTTATATTCTTGATTCTGATTCATATATGTATTTCAAATTTAGTTAGAGTATCTCTTATATAAATTATCTTTCACATTATCAAGATTCAAGACTGATGATAACTGTCAATAACTCACTTCAAGTAGATTTACAAGCTCTTCTTTATATTCTTGATTCTGATTCATACTGAGTGATATGTAATTAATATGTAGTTCATTAAATATAAGATTTTATATTATGAACTTATTTAGTTTTCTCAGTGGCTCTAAGCTGGGATATTTTGGAAGTTATTTTATGAGTGTGACAAAGTCAATGACAAGACAAAGTCTACTTTTGTATTAGACGTATAAGTTAAATTATATTGTTTCCAAACTAGACGTTCTAAATAGATGTAAATGTTGGTAAATTAACCTGATATTGTAAGTGTTTTGGCCTATTGAAAACTATAAAACTGGTTTGAACTGGTTTGGGAACTGTACATCTATAAACATAAAGACAAACACCTGTTGCTATGCGTACATATATACATCTTTGTTTTCCTGTTGTTCAGGACCGTCATTCTGAGGGGAATTCAATACCTGTGGTTGACCAGCAACAGAACTACAAACTCCTGTATCTAACCGAGTCTGACGGGAAAACTGTCATGAAGTTTCAGAGATCTATTGAGACCTGTGATGAAAAAGATTTACCCATCACTGTGAGTCCTGCAACAACATTCCCATACTACCATGTTTTGAAAGACATTAATACTTTTATTCAGCAAGAATGCATTAAATTGATCAAAAGTGACAGTAAAGATTTCTATTTCAAGTAAATGCTTGGACTTTCTATTCTTCAAAGAAAATGTATCACAGTTTCCATAACAATATTAGGCAGCACAACTGTTTTCAACAATAATAAAAAATGTTTAGCATATTAGAATGAATTCTGAAGAATTATGTGACACTGAAGACTGGAGTGATGATGCTTTGCATCACAGGAATAAATTACATTTGAAAATATATATTGAAAGTATATATTTACATTGTAATAATATTTCACACTAGTTTTTATTGTATTTTTGTGACAAATGCAGCCTTGGTGAGCAGAAGAGACTTCTTTCAAAAACATCAAAATATCATTATCATTTTAAAAAAGTCTACCTTTCAAAATGTGAGGATTACGGACTTTAACAATAGAATCAACCTATAATTTAACCTTTCAAACTACCATTTTTAGAGATTAAAATGTTTAAGGTTTGGGTAGTTGAACAAATCCAACAAAAATCCAACAAATCCAGCAACAAATGATGTACTTGAGGATAAATATACTGTTTGTTCCTGGAACTGGCCTAATGATAAACAGAACACCTACTGAATTTGATATCCTATTTTCTGATAAATCACACCCAAGGCATGTTTGCAATTTACGAACTGTGATGCGACTACAAAAAAAAGTACTTACAACACCATCAGTTTCTCTCCCCTTTTATTATGTAGTACTCAGAAGTTTTACCCAGAAAACAATGTGAACGTGAGACCTACTGCATTGATAAAACCCTGAATTGTAAGATTGTAAGAGTGGTGTGGGTGTCCTCTTTCAGGGTCCGCACTCTCATATGGAAATCCACACTGGGACCAGGAAGTTTCTACCGATTCTGTTTGTTTAGGGACTGTCAATTAGGCTACTTACTGTAATCTAAAGCTGCTGATGTGATAGACTGTCTGACTGAACCATAGACTGTAAAAGGACTGAACTCAGAAACCCTGAAAGTCTCGATCCGAAACTACTAGCTAAAGAGTTTTTCATTTTTCAGTTCAGATTTTCCAGTTGGTATCTGTGGATTAGATGTCTGTTTTGTTTTATTGCATGATCAGAATCTTCCCATGAAGCTGATCTATGCGTACGGACAGAGCGATGACATCGTGTACCACAATAACCGAAGGGGAACGAAAGAGGTGAACCTGTTGAAGTACATGCCTCGTGTCAGTCCACCAAACAGCAAGTATTTCGACATGACTATGGCCAATGTAAGAGATTTTTACTTTTTCTTTTGCCTTATTTATTTTAGTCAGATTCGTTAAACAGAATTCTTAAAAAATATATTTGCCAATTCGTTATTTGAGCTTTTGATAATCAAAAGAATGCACAAAACTTTGACCTGGTGCAAAAAACAAAGAGACAAGCAATATTCCATGTCAAAGTTCATATTTATCCTACTAGGCTGTGACCACAACAAGCAACAGAATGTTTGGTAATTGGTCCAAAATCTAGGTGCACATTAAACATGGTTATTAAGAAAAAATTATGCCATAACATTTAGACTAGACTATAGACAAGCCAAGTCACCTTTATTTTTTAGAGAGCTTTATACAATACAGATTATTTCAAAGCAGCTTTACGGTGATCAACAGGAAAATAAATCACTGTAAAGTACAACAATGTAGGGCTAATTCACTAAAAAAATATGTATACATTTCCGTATTTGGCATTCGCTTTATGTGACTTAGCATTTAAAAGGGTCATGAACTGAGAATTCAAATTTTCCTTGATCTTTTGACAGTTACGAGTTCGTTATACATTATTTGTTTGTATTTGGTGCATTTCAATGTGGATTATTTGGTAATTCAGTCGTAGTTTCGGCGCAGGCTTTACAAACAGACTTTTATGATATGGATCTGCCAGCAACGCCACAAACATGTAAGTAACCACGTTTATTCCAATGCCTGATCAGTGATTTCTGATGTGTAATCAAGTTCAGAGAGATATTCTTTCTCTCAAAGTCGCTCAATATGCATCAGTATAAATCAAGCTAGTGACTAAAAGATCAACGTCACAGTTTCTCTTAGTAGGATGAAAATAATCTTATTTAAACTGTTTATAAAATATATACAGAAAGCATCAAAGAACGATCCCTTTCAAATCACTCAAGCTGTCAATCAAACAGTGCGAGTTTATCGGGGCACTTGCCAAAACTCGTTATGAAATCAATGACGCTGTTACACTGCACAAAGAAGCTCTTTTATTGTATTTACATCGTGTTTGCACTGTTATTTGGTGAAAGCATTAGTGAGGGTGCAGAAATCTTTACCTAGAAATCTAAGATGTTTTCATACGCAATCAACAGACCATCTGTCATCTGCTCAATGCTCATCACTGCAACCTTTCATGTGATGGAATAGACCTAAATACTTTAAAAACTTCTCACGATTGGTTAATCTCGATAGCTGTAATAGTAAAAACGCTTCTTTTACTGTCTATCATGTAAAAACGTAGTAAAAGTATTCGAGAGATTTCCACATGCAATGCTAGCTATTTCATATGCAAACATGTCAGCCAATCACAGAAGTGGGCGTTTACACTGAAGTCTCACAGCAGACACGCCTCTTCAAACAGCGTTCAAATCAGAGGCTAAAATCAGGCTAGGAAAAATGCCTTTTATTTAGTAAAAGTTTTATTTTACGTAGTAAAAGTATTCGAGAGATTTCCACATGCAATGCTAGCTATTTCATATGCAAACATGTCAGCCAATCACAGAAGTGGGCGTTTACACTGAAGTCTCACAGCAGACACGCCTCTTCAAACAGCGTTCAAATCAGAGGCTAAAATCAGGCTAGGAAAAATGCCTTTTATTTCTAAATTATGACACTTTTTGATTTAAAAATCATACTAACATTACAAGGGCACCCCATGAAACATTCTAAAATAATAAAATAATCCAGTTCATGACCCCTTTAAGGTACATTTGATCAGTTCAAGCTGGGAATCGAACCCATGACCTTTGTCATTACTAGCGGCTGCTCTATGTTTGATCTACAGACACTATCTATCAATGGTTCCTTCTTAGTGAATTTCCCCATAATCCTCTTTGGCTTAAAATGTCTAATGTTGGAACTTTCACTTGACATGTTGATTAAATTCAAAATCATTTCAGTTCTCTGTACCAGCCAATCAAACCTACTATCACTGCAAGATCACGAGAGCCCCGACTTTTGATCGCAAACAGCACATTTATCGTGTAAGTGAGTCTATGAACTTCACACACATGATCTATCCACCGATCTGTCGATCATCTTCATCTCTGACTTACTTTCCTCATCTCCAGATTGAGCCGGTCATCACAAACTTCGACCTCGTGCATCATCTGCTGCTGTACCGCTGCCCGGCGAGTGTGACGGAGCCATTTGAAGCGCAATGTTACACACAATTGAGAATCAATGAGTGTATGGAGACTATTGCAGTGTGGGGAGTTGGCGGAGGGGTCAGTATATGTTCAGAAATCAAACAATCTCTTGGGTCATTTTCATCTCTTGCTTATATTTTCTCATTTTTAAATGACTGTCTAATATGCAGGGGCGGGTTTACCATTTTGGGGGCCCCAAGCAAAGTAATATTGAAAAGAATTAAGTGAGACATTTAAAAAAACATATTTATTAAAACTGCATACCAAAAATTGTCTACACTTTGGTACTTGCTCCCTTAAGCTTTAAGATATAAACCTTCTTGGTTTTGGATTCATCAAGAGTCTTAATTTTGTCCATTGTCTTCAATATTCAAAATTACACAGAGTCCATTTAGCTATTAGAAAATAAACCTCTTGGTTTTAGCTTGAACAATTGTCTTCTTATTTTGAAATATGGCTATCTAATATTCTGATTCTCAAATATGGGTTAGTAGAATGCTTAGTCGCCCTAAGCATTTGCGTGGTGGTTAACAACGACACTGCTAATATGGAACATTTGTGGGGTGTATGATTGATCAAAATATTTTGTTTTGTTTTTATATCCCTTTCTTTCAGGTTTTTGAACTCCCTGAGATGGCAGGACTTCCAATTGGAGGAAATGTTGGAGATTTTTTCTACAGGCTTGAAGTGCATTACAACAACCCAAATAAAAGTGCAGGTCAGTCAGTAGTGCTTTACAATGTAAAATATCACACTGTGATGAATATTTAAGGTCTTTTGACATGATTAAAACAATACTTTCTTCTCTACACAGGTCGAGTTGATAACTCGGGTCTGCGATTCTATTACACATCTGAACTCCGTCAGCATGATGCAGCTGTTTTAGGAACAGGGCTTGTAGTGGCCCTTGGGTACGCCATCCCACCCAAAGCCAAATCCTTCCTCACGTACGGCCTGTGTGACACTGCCTATATTCCACAGGTATGTATGTATTAGCTACTCACATTCTCACAATCAAAGGCAGACTCAGCAGATGACTGGATGATCTGTTATCTACAGGTTCTGGAGACGCCACATGATCTTCAGGTGTTTTCTGTGATGTTGCACACACACTTGACTGGACGGAAGGTGCGAGTCGGACACTTCAGGTAAATGTCTTCTGATCAATAACTGAATTAAAGGTCCCGTATTATGCCCCTTTTCACAAGATGTAAAATAAGTCTCTGATGTCCCCAGAATGTGTATGTGAAGTTTCAGCTCAAAATACCCAACAGATCATTTTTTACAGCATGTTTAAATTGTCATTTTTTGGGGCTCAGAAAAACGCGTTGATTTAGTGTGTGCCCTTTAAATGCAAATAAGCTGCTGCTGCCGGCACAGGGGGCGGAGCTTCATGAGCTCGCGCTCAGTCTCTCAGGACAATTTCATCTCACGGAATAATGATAATATCAGAAACTCTGATAGTCCAAACGGGCCGTTCGATGTAGGCGACTTCTGTTAAATAAAATATCTCGCTTGGCATTGAACTTTGAGCTTTATAATTTTACAGATATTATTTATACTCTAACAACAACATTACACACTAACTTTAGGTTACTTACGTAACCCCGGTTCTCTGATAACATGAGTGAGGTATCTCACTATGGGAACGCCTCTGAGCGTGAAAGATCTGGAAGTACCAATCACACCACTCAGTTGACAGACCAATCACGACAGTGATGCGGGAGTCCCACCTCCCTCATATAAACCACTGCCAGTGGTCCCTACTTCATTCTCTGCATATCTCTTCTCCGTGCACTGCAAGGAGGGACGTGTGGTGAGATACCTCACTCATGTTATCAGAGAACCGGGGTTACGTAAGTAACCTAAAGTTCTCTTTCAAACATACGCTCGGTATCTCACTATGGGATATAGACAACTCCCGTATTGCAGATATGCTTCCCTGTGTGTGTGTGTGTTTTTTTTTTTTTTTTTTTTTTTTTTTTTAACACACTTAAGACGGAATGAGCCAGTGATGGCTCAGTGACATCCATTCTATAAAATCGGACAAAAGTGTGAGGCGAAGCCCAGCTTGCTGCTGCACATATGTCCTGAACTGAAACGCCCTTAAACAGTGCCCATGAGGTAGCCAAACCTCTGGTAGAATGAGCCTTCAGCCCTTCCGGAGGACAGAGACCCATGCCATTATAACCTAATATAATAGCTTCCACTACCCAGTGGGACAGGCGCTGATGCGAAATAGGTTTCCCTTTATGAGAATCAGCCCATGAAACAAATAACTGATTACTCTTCCTTAGTGCTTTCGTTCTGTCCACATAATGACGCAACGCACGGACAGGGCACAAGCAATGAAGCCGCGCATCCTCTGACGAGGAAAAAGGCTGCGGATGGAAAGCCAGTAAATCCACCTGTTTACAGGCGAGAGCTGACTCGCTAACTTTAGGCACAAACGCTGGATTCGTTTTGAGAGTTACTCTCGAGTAATCCATAGCGAACTGCATACAAGAGTTATGAACCGATAGCGCGTGAAGTTCACTAACCCGCTTTGCGGTCGAAAGAGCCAATAATAAAGCAGCCTTTAGCGAAAGGAGCTTTAATTCAACACTCTCTATTGGCTCAAAAGGGGGCTGAGATAGTGCGTTAAGGACCACAGACAGATCCCACGGCGGAATCAATGGCTTTGAAACCCTGTTCAAACGTCGCGCACCTCTCATAAACCTGCATACAAGCGGGTGTTGACCTATAGTGTTTCTCTCAACCCCCACATGACACGCAGAAATTGCGGCAAGATAAACCTTAACAGTTGAAAAGGCTCTGCCCTTATCCAAAAGTTCCTGCAGAAAACATAACACATCCGCCACAGAACAGAGAAAAGGAACAATGTGTTTTGTGCGCACCATCGTTCAAACACAGTCCATTTCCGATCATATGCAGAGCGCGTCGAAGCCGCTCGTGCATTCTGAATTGTTTCAATCACACCCAGAGGCAAACCCGTCACTCTCAAGTTTAACCTCTCACGGGCCAGGCCCAAAGAGCCACTTTGTCTGGGGCTGGGTGAAAGATCTCCCCGCGCGCTTGTGAGAGAAGGTCCCTGCGCAACGGGAGAGGCCAAGGCTGGTCGCAAAGGAGTTGAATTATCTCCGTCAACCACAACTTCCCCGGCCAGTTCGGGGCAATCATTATGACTGAGTGACCGTACTCTCTTACCCTTCTTAAAGTCGGAAATATCAGACTTAGTGGCGGAAACGCGTACAGAAGTGCGTTTGGCCACGGGTGCGCTAGAGCATCCACACCCATAGGCGCACCGTCTCTCGCCAGAGAGAAGAATAGAGGACATTGAGTGTTTTCGTGCGAGGCGAAGAGATCTACGGCAGCCTGGCCGAACCTCTCCCACAACTGGCTCACTACCTGAGGGTGGAGAGTCCATTCTCCATACAGAGGATTTCCTCTGGACAGGAGATCCGCCCCCACATTCATTATTCCCGGGACATGGGTTGCCCGTAGTGAATGAAAATGCTTCACGCTCCACACGATAATTTTCTGCGCCAGACTGTGAAGCAGATGGGAACGTGTGCCTCCCTGGCGATTTATGTATGCCACCGCCGTTGTGTTGTCTGACCTGATCAAAATGTGGTGGTTCCTTAAGAACCGCACAAAATGTTTCAGTGCCAGAAAAACTGTTAACAGTTCCAGGAAGTTTATGTGTGCGTTTTGTAGCGAGACGGGCCATTTCCCCTTCGCTATCCTGCCCTCGCACACTGCACCCCAACCTGTGAGCGATGCATCCGTTGTAACCACCTTTCTCAGAGAAACTGCTCCCAGCGGAGTCCCTGACTCGAGAAATGAGCGATCTCTCCACTGACGGAGAGCGCGCATGCAGCGTGACGTCACTATCACCTTGCGGTTGAGATGGCGTTTTGGACACAAACCCTGCGCCGCCTTCCAGTTCTGAAACTCCCTCATTCGCAACAGTCCCAGTGGAATGACAGAAACTGTCGAGGCCATCAGCCCTAGAAGACGTAAACAGAGTCTGAATGGAACTCTGTTTCCTTTCTGAAAAAGGGATAAACAGCCGCGAATTGACCTGATGCGCTCTTCGGACAGAAAAGCTTGATAAAGGTCAGAGTTCAGTCTGAGACCCAGGTAAATTATCTCTTGTGTAGGCACCAAGCAGCTTTTTGTTTCGTTTATCTTGAAACCTAAGCTCTCCAAATGAGACACAAGCATTTGTGTCTCTCTCTCTGCCTGTTGCCATGACGGCGCGCACAGCAGCAGATCGTCCAAATATGCTGACACTCTTAGACCCATTATTCTCAGCGGTGTGAGCGCTGCTTCCACACATTTGCTGAAAACCCTGGGAGCCAGACACAAACCGAACGGGACTGTCAAAAACTCGTAGGCTGTGTCTCGATAGGCAAATCTGAGGAATTTTCTGTGCGCCGGGTAGATGCTTATGTGAAAATATGCATCTTTCAGATCGACTGACGTAAGCCAGTCCTTGGGACTAATAATTTGAGATAACGTTTTTAAAGGACAACATATTGAACCTGTATTTTCTGAGGTGTTTGTTGAGGTTCCGTAAATCCAGAATAGGACGGAGACCCCCCCCTCTCTTGGGAATGACAAAGTACCGGGAGTAAAAACCTAGATGGCTGTTCTCCGGCGGCACAACTCGAATAGCTCTTTTGTTCAATAAAGAGGTTATTTCTTCCTCCATAATCTGAGCTGACTCCCCTTCTGCTGTTGACATTAACACACTGTTGAAAAGTGGAGGTTTTACAGCAAATTGCAGACGATAACCCCGGCTTATTGTGGATAAAACCCAGGGGTGTACTGCGCATGCGCGCCAGCTCTCTGCGTGAGCAGAGAGCGGGCCGCAGCAGCTCTCGTCCACTAGTGACGCAGCGGCGCCATCTAGCGGTGGAGCTGGGGACTGCAGCTCTGATTTGGAATTTTTTGTTTTTGTGTGTTTTTATTTTCAAACATTGCTGTGCCCTCGGCCCACTGCCTGGATGCACAGGGAACGTGTTTATTATTTTCACAGCACACATATCTTTCAGAAAACAGCCCTCTGCCCTCTGTTTTAACCCCGTGGGTGGAGGGAGGGAAACTTTTCTGTGAGGCACTGGGGGAACTGGTGCTTTTCTGTGAGGCACTGGGAGAACTGGTGCAAACTTCACAACTGAACCGGTCATAGGGTAACTTTTTTCTTTGAACAATTCCCGTGTCCGACGCCTTCTCTTGGCGGGAGGGGGAGAAAATGACCGCTCTCTTTGAGGGAGGATAACAACAGATACTCCGTGAGTGCTGTTGCTCATCCCTTCTTTCTGAACCTGATATAATATTAGGTTGCTCGCCGTTTCTTCCCTCCCTGAGGGTTTGCTGGTCGGTGTCTGGCTGCAGCCGCTGCAAAGGAAGGTTTTCCCTTCGGCTGAGCTGACTTAGACTGTGGCTCAGTCTGGTGAGGCTGAGAAGGTCTAGGGCCTCTGAAGTCTGACCGACCTCTCTGCTGGGGGGCATCAAACCTGGATCGTGGTGGTTGAGAAACCTTAACGGTGGATCTGCGAGGGAGGCAGGTTTGGAAAGCCTCACCCTCTTGTTTCTTTTGATCACACCTTTGTCGCATAGCAGTGACCGATGCCCCGAAAAGAGCTTTGGGCTCAACCGGAGCATCCAAGAAGTCAGCCTTCTCTCTGTCTGACAGCCCTGACAGCCCCAGCCAGAGAGCTCGCTCGCCGACCACTGCTAGGCCCATGCTGCGGCCACAGCTCTGGACCGCACCTCTGGAAGTTCTCAGGTTCAGATCTGCAATAACGCAAATCTCCTCCCAGAGGGCTGGGTTTGGTGTCCCAGCATCCATTTGCCTCCCCATCTCTTCCATAAGCTCTGCTTGATAAGCAGTGAGGAGAGAGGTGGCATTAAGAGCCCTCACTGCCAGTGCAGAAGAGCGATAAATCTTCTGAAACACTGAGGCTGTTAGACGCTCAGTGCGTCCTGGCAGTGAAGCTGAAGCCGAGGAAAAGGCTGCCCTGCGGTTAGGGTGGAGATGATGTGCCACTGACAGCTCGACAGGAGGGGAATTTGACATCCCTAACTCCTCCATTTTATCCACATCCAGCCTAGAAAATCCCTTTACAGGAACCCTGTGTGAAAAGGGCTTATCCCAGAAACGTTTCATTTCTGAAACGCACGCGGGGACCGCTGGAATGAGCTGTTTAGCTGGTAGGGCACGTGCCGGCAGTCTCTTGCCGTCATAGAGATCTCTCTCCGTCCCCTGGCCCGTCTGCTGCGACGGCCAGTCTATGGAGAGTTTCGCCGCCGCCCTCCGGCACATTTCCAGTAGGTCGAGCTCCCTCTGAGCCGGGGAGGGTGAACCTTCGCTTAACGCGCTGCCTGGCCGGGAGGGATTCGGCGGGAGGATCGCATCGTCGTCATCCTCCTCACCATCGTCCTCCAACAGACGATCGATGGCCTCGTCGTCCTCATCGTCCTCCTCTCTTACATCCGTAAAGGATCCAAAAAGGGGAGGTAGTTGGGGGGAGACCTCGTCCATAAATTCGCCCCAGCTGCATGACGCAGGGGGCTTTTTAGCCTCCTCCGCGGGCGGCGGAGAGAAGCAGGGATCTCCCTTGTTAGTGGCCGCGACTCGCACTCTTCTCTCTAGCACCCTCGACGGGAAGCGAGAACAGTGAGGACAGCCCTCGGGGTTAGCGAGGGCTGCCTGAGCGTGTCTAACCCCCAGGCATGCGATGCACAAAGGATGAAGATCCTTGCCTGAAATCATCGAACCGCACGCACACGGACGTGAAGTTTCTGCTTTCGGACCGCCGCTTGCAGAACTTGCAGTTGCCATAATAATAATAACCGTATCCAAGCTCACCACAACGTGTAACTCAGAAGAAAGGAATATCCAAGAGAATTCGGCGTAACACGTTAATTCTCGTGGTATACCAGACTCAAATAAAAAATCACCGTTACAGTGGTAAAAGACCTGCTAACAAAAAATAGCTGCGTTCGGTGACGTACCTCGACGGCTCGTCTTAGAACAGTTAAACAACTATTTTGAAGACAGGTCCAACTGAAGGAAAGCTTCCAATTTTGATCTTCACGGGGAAGAGATCGAAGAATGAAGTAGGGACCACTGGCAGTGGTTTATATGAGGGAGGTGGGACTCCCGCATCACTGTCGTGATTGGTCTGTCAACTGACAGACGTGGTGTGATTGGTACTTCCAGATCTGTCACGCTCAGAGGCGTTCCCATAGTGAGATACCGAGCGAATGTTTGAAAGAGAACTAAAGTTTGACATGGGATCACGAAGAACGGGACCTTTAAAGCTCACTGGAATATCAAAATGAAATATAATTTACTCACACTCATGTCATTCCAAACCTGTGTGCTTTTCTTTCTTCTGTGGAAGACAGAAGGAGATGTTAAGCTGAATGTTCATGCTGCTTTGTCAACTTTCATATAATAATAATAATTTTTATTTGGGTGTTTATGACGGTATTTGGGTGTTTATGATGGTGTTTATTTTAAAAATGTAAAAGGTTTGTTTGACCTGATAAAAATAAGAGTTTTCTCATTTTTCTAATGAGCCTCTGACCCGACGAAATCCTCAGACATTTTTCTTTAAAACTACTAGTTCTTCTGATCCCTAACTTTATGATCCGTTTCATGTTATGTTGTTTTCTGCCCTATCTGTACTGTCTCTTTGCCTGCTGTCGTGTTTACATGCTAATATAATATTGTATTGACCTTGAGTTTGCAGAAAGGCACTACATAAAATAAACTTATTATTATTATCTTTCACTGCTCAAAATGTCTATAGGAAAAACAAAACAAAACATTTTAAGTATGTTGTTGTCTATTTCAGAGGAGAAAAACAGATCGATTTCTTAGCTGCAGATGAAAACTATGATTTTGAATACCAGGAAGTGACAAACTTGGGCCAAACTAAGACAGTGAAGTTGGTGAGTGTGAAATGATTTGAATCGTTGAACAACTTAAAGTTGTTAGTTCACCAAAAAAAATTTAATTTGTCATTAATTACTCGCCCTCGGTCGTTCCAGCCCGTAAGACCTTTTCGGAACACAAATGAAGATATTTTTTATGAAATCCGAGAGCTTTCTGATCCCACATGGACGACAACGCAATTACCACTGTCAAGGCCCAGAAAGGTAGTAAAGACATTGTTAAAATATGTGAACACTATGACGCATGCGTGTGATGCTGACGCAGGAGCCGGCGTTCTGACGTACCCGGAAACGCTGCACTGTGTTTACAACGTGAACAGCGCCAGAGACTGACACGGAAGAGAAGAAATTGTTGAATATAGTGGTTCCCCCCCCCCCCCCCCCCCGAACAAAATAACATAATATTAAAGTTGAACCGCTGAATCACTGTCTTTACTACCTTTCTAGGCCTTGAAAGTGGTAATAACGTTGCAGTTTCATCAAAAATGTGTATTAATTTGCACAATTTGTGTTCTGAAGATGAACGAAAGTCTTACGGGTTTGGAAAGACGTGTCATTTTTGGGAGAACTATCCCTTTAACATGCTGCTCACTTTACAGGGATTTAAATACTGCATCAAATATATGCAATGCACAATGCCATACATCATGCTTATATGTTAGTCGAGTCAAAAACGATGGTCTTGTCTGAAGGAGGTTTAGTTATTAATGCACAATTATTATTAGTATTATTAAGCAAAATAAAACATCCTTTTTCTCTTTTAGGGTGACAAATTGCTGGTGGAGTGTACTTATAATACTGAAAACCGCACCACACTCACATGGGTTGGTACAACTATCTAACTTTTCTTCATGCAACTTCATATTTCAACTGCTTCTTTACATTGAAATGTCTTTTGTGTGTGTGTGTGTGTGTGTGTGTGTGTGTTTGCCCACAGGGGGGGCTCTCGACTTCAGAAGAGATGTGTTTGGCTTTCCTCTTCTACTATCCAGCTATGAATCTGAGCGGCTGTATGAGCTTCCCTAATGTAACCACTTTAAGATCTGAGATGGGAACACCAAGTCAAAAGTAATTCACTTATAAACACTAGTGTCATCCAAAATGTGATCCATGAATGCATTTAGCCCCATAATGACCTTGGCTTTTATTTGATAATTGCAGTGCTTGGCTCAACATGATGAACAACATGATTTGGAATGACACGTCTATCAATAAATACCAACAAACACTGAAGAAAATCGATCAGCTTGTCATAATTGTGGATTCATTTGTAAGTGTCCACACCTCTAAAACATGCATCAATCTCTCATTTTTCTAAGTTACCGCCTAACAGTGTTGTGAATGTGTATTCCCAGAAAAACATATCACGCAACCCAGGGATGATTCCTGATCTCAAAGTCATCCCGTCTGAACCCTGCATGAGCGCTTGTGCCATCAAAAGTCTTGCTTTGATATCACTGCTCCTCTGTTTGGCAGTGCATTGGGCTTAATGAAATGCTCATGCAAAATACTAAACCTGATGTAACCTGATGTTCTTTCAGTGTCTGTGATTAAAAGTCAATCAATCTAGATCAGGAGCTCAAGGCAGCTCCACCTTCAATAACAACCAGAGGGAAATCCTACACAATTTATGTTTCATATCAGGGAATGTCAAATGTGTGATTTTCAGGCCTAGAAAAATCATAATTAATAAAATCTCAAAGGGTCATGGAAAATTCTATATTCAATATGAATTTTTCTAATATATCATCTTCATTGCATGTTAAATAAACAAGCTAACACAATAAAACTACACTGACATAAAAAATAACATGCATTCATGCTGACATATAGATTTATTTTTCTGCAAAAGCTTTAAAAAGATAACTCAATGGCTTGATTATACCTTTTCTAATGTTTTCAATTTAAGAATTCAAATTTATTGTGATTTTTGTGGGGCAAATTGGGTGTAACTGTTGTGATAATTTAATAAAAAATATAATTAAAAGGCAAAAAAAAAAAAAGGATTTTTATTGAAATGTTGTTCAATATGATGTTACGTTACACCTGGTTTTTGTAGCCAAGACTTTGTACTGTAGCCGAGAAATTTTCACTGGAGCAAAAAGTGCGACAACTAGCCCTGGTCTCCGTAGGTATAACATGTCAATTTTTGTTGGTGTACTTACATGAATGATGTAGTAGTAACCTGTTATGCAATGCTTGTTTGACAGTCACAGCGGGCACGCCCTTGCCGCCCGATTCATCTTCAGGTTAGTGGCTTTATAAAGCTGATGTGAAAAATCAAAGGGCATTACAGCAGCAGAACTTCATCTAGACCTTTCTTTTACTGTCTATGATCTAGACATGTCGCGCGCTTCCGTCACTCCACCGAACTTCTCGTGGGTTCAACCTCAGAAACTCGCCGGACTGGCGTGTCCTTCAGAAGCTCAGCATTTCAAGTTCCTGGTGGAGAATGGCATCAAACACCTGGTGTGCTTGCTAGAATCAATCCCACCGAAATATGAGACCTGTCCAGAGCTCATCCTGCATCACATCAGCATAGTGGACTTCACGCCACCGAGTCTGGCTCAAATACTGCGATTCCTGAGCATCGTGGAGGAAGCCAATGCTAAAGGGGAGGTGAGGGTGGAAAACACTTTTATAGTTAATCCATGATCGGATTAAAAGCCAAAAGCTTAATTTTACGTTTTTTTTTTGGACATTACTACATTAAAAGTATAGTCGTACAAATGTTCTTTTTTTAAAGTTCAATAATCATAAATGAATGTAATTGGTCGAGGAGTCAAACGGTGAGAAAAGAAACGGGAGACATGTGACACCGCTGAGTGCATGAGCTACCCCAACAGAGAAAACTAATACTTCACTATATCTTAGTTGTCGTGTTGCGCTACCTTTACCTATGGTAAATTTGTAAGACATAATCTGAAATCGAACTAGCATATATTTACAGATCACTGATTCTATATAGATCAGTGGTACAGATACATAGTATAGGCTACATTTAATTTTTTTTAATACGACAAATTTATTTCAATTCATATATGCCCATTTGTATTCTTTTCCGTTTTATGCAATATAAACATAAGTGCAAAAAGAACATGTGCAATTAACATCGTCAAAATCAATTTTATATAATTAAAATGCTTGAAGGCCCGTTCCGTAGAACAATAACTAAAGATAACGATAAAGATATAGTTAAACAGTTGTGTTATAAAACATATTTATTATAATTTAATAAGTACTACTTATCTGTTATGTAGTGTTTTAATGCCCTATGTTAAAATATCATAGCTATGGGTCAACAAAATGTTAAGTGTTTTCATAAACTGTTGTCAGCCAGATGAAACCCTGATTTTGGCCCTTTCTCATCCTCAGGCTGTTGCGGTTCACTGTATGCATGGTCATGGCAGGACAGGGACCATGCTAGCCTGCTATCTGGTGAAAACAAGGAACATCTCCGGTCGAGAAGCCATCAAGGAAATCCGCAGACTTCGAAAAGGGTCCATTGAGACAGAAGACCAGGAGAAAGCAGTGATAGAGTTTCACAAATACATTCAAAACTGTTCTCAAAAACATTAAATCCACACTCACATTTATATCCACATTGACAGGTGTCTGTGATCCATGTTCTTCACCAGGTGTTAAGTCTCTCTCTCTCTCACACACACAAACACACACACACACACACACACAACAAACAACAACTGCTTTGTGTAACCTAACCTACTCTTTAGGTAACCGATGATATGTGTGTGTTGGTAAATACAGAAAACATGAACTTGATCAGCTGTGCTCCTACCTTTATAAAATAACCCTGATATTAATACACAACGCAGATTAGGATGCCACAGCTACATCATGTTAGCCTCGTGAGACCATCCTGATCTCGCGAGCTTTCAAGGTTTCACTCGCAGATCAGTCTGGATACTTTCCGTTAAAGAAAATTTGGGAGCAGTTCACCAAACGAACGTCCAATCAGCGTTGGCTTTGAGGCGGGTTGAGGTGTGACGCAACGAGAAGCGCGTCAGTTCAGTCTAAAGAACATGTCGGCTTCAGCGGATGAAACTAGCATCAGCGTGGCTATCGAGCAAGTTTTATCGGAATTACAGAGTATTTCTTCACTGAAAGAAGAGCAAAACACTGCTCTGGAGGCTTTTCTCAGAGGAAAAGATACGCTCTGTTAGTACGTCATATGCTTCGTTGATCTAATTGGTTGATTTGGCCCGTCTATCACCAACATAGGCCAATCAGCTAACCAGTATTTTCGCCCCTTACCAAAACTACTTCAACGGAAGGTTTCCAGATGGATATGCGGAGCAAATCCATCTGGCGGAGTCAGGTTAACATCATGTTACATGAAGTCTATTTCTATTTAACAGTCCAGTTAATCTTGAATGCAATGCAATTTGGTCTATGACGCTTTTGTTTGTATTCAGATCAGATCTAATGATTGATTAAAAAATGCATTAAAAGTAAAGCTCATTCACAACAGCTTGATTTCACCTTTTCTAATTTCCTTTTCTGAATTTAAATCTATTGTGATGTTTGTGGGGCAAAGTAGAAAAATGGGTATAACTTTCCAGATATTACAATGAAAGTCTGATTAAAAGGCTGAAATTACAAATTAAATATAAAATCCTATAATTAAACCCTTAACTATGTCAGCATATTTTTTTCTTAATATATAAAATATAAACAATTCTTACAAAATATAGATATTTTGACTGCTTTTTCTTGTAAAATAACAGAAACATAAAAAAAAGATGTTTTCCCAAAATAAAATACTGAAATATTCAAAATATATTTAAAATATTGAATATATTTGACATTTATATATATCAAATATATTTGGTAAAATATTGGCCTGAAATTACATAAAAATATCATTTAAATAAATAAAAAAATCAACTATTGTGCAAGCATAATCAAAAAAATTCCATTCCAAAATATAAATGAATAAACATATGTACCTATATTTTTATATGATGAATGATTCTTACAAAATAGACACTTATTCAGCTTTTTTTGTAAAATCCGTATTTATTTATGATTTACAAAAGCCTATGTAACAACCATTAAAATGAATCAAATAAATTCATCTTTAACCTAAAATGTGTGTGCATATGTGTCAGTTTATGTTTCTCAAAGTGGCAAAAAAGAAAGGATATTGACATTACCCTTATGCATCATTTGAATGTACAAAGTCTGTGTTCACTGGAAAATTATTTACACAGGCGCCAACAGGCCTAAACTATGAATGAAAAGACACAGGTGCTTAAAAAACCGAAGAGACAAGACCAGATCCTTGATTTAAATAAACATCTGCAATACTGAGCTGAGGGAAGCCGTTTAATGCACCATGAAACAGTGGATAGTGACTTGTTTACTGTGTTTAATTCTCACGTTTGTCGCTCATCCATCAAATTTAACCTGCAGACTTATAAATACAAACAAATCTGTCACTATATCAATAGGTTCAAATAAATACCTGCTAATCAAAAGGCTCCTGCATCTCATCTCCACAAACCTCTTTATTTAGATCATCTCGTTTTAACATTATGCTACCATCAAACTTCGTTTTCGTCAACGTCAGAACTGTGGACTACACATCGTCCGGATCAGTTAAACACAAAAAAAAAAGGAAAATCTGGCAATTAGAAAATTCTAAACATTTTATAAAAGTGGTAAACCTCAGCGCTCTTACGGAATGACAGACTTGCAGATGATGCAGCACAAATATTCAAGAAAAAAAACGACTACATTCTCAAAAGGAAAAACTGAATTTCACAAATGGTGCTAACAAGGTTACGAGAGCTCATTTCTGAGCTAAATCATGTGAATGCAGACACGAGACGTGGCGGAAAGGTGCCCGTGTATCCATGAACGCGGAAGAACCAGCTGGAAAAAATTAAATGAAATAAACAGTGCGACAAGAAAACCGCGAGCCTCCTATATAAGTTTCGTTCACACGCTACTGTTGAGCTGTTCAATAATACACCGGGACCGACACGGACCCTGATCTGTACAGAGAGCTGTTAACATTGCTCTATAATATCGGCACTTACTTTCAAAAAGAAAACAAAAAAAAAAAACAGAGGAAAGATGTAGAAAGAGAATAAAATAACACCATAAAATATCCCACTTTACTGCCTATTAAAAAAAAAAAATGAGCAAGAAATGCGTCATTTTTCAATAACATTTCACAAACAAAAATATACCCCCTTCATGTCATTTCAATTTTCTTACTAATATAATTAAAACAATTTACAGTGCTTTATTATAATATATCTTTCGAGGGAATTTATGGAATATCATCTCTTATTGCAGCTAAATGATACTTAATCGTCCAGTTATTCAATAAAACCCAAAAAGTATGATTGGAAATGACTGGGTGGGAAGCCAAAGCTGGATGTGTTTTGTGTGTTTTTTTTTTTCTTCCAGGGATGGATCACGTACTGGCAATTAGTCCGGCTGGGGCTCTTCGCTACTGCTTTATGTTCAGTTCGTTCTCCAGTTCCATGAGCTTCCGGGACGCTTTCACTTTATTCGACACTTCCTTTCCCTGTGAGAAGAGTCTCTGGCGCTCCTTAAATGTCATATTTTCTGGAGCTCCGCCTATTGTGTTTTCCTGATCGGGGCCGCTGCAATCAAACACAATCATATGTGAGCAATGCAGGCGTCACCCGCTATTATTACTCACCCTCATGTGAAACACAAAAGGATAGAATACGAATTTCATCCATTTTCCGATTTAAATATTGCATATCAAATTGTATGGAAGCTTTTATTTTTCACTTTTTTTTTTCACGCAATTGCAATTCAGGCTTTTTTTTCTCAGAATGCAATTAAAAAAGGTAATTGCGACTTTTTCATCGATTCGTACTTTTTCTAACAATTGCGTGTTTATATCACAATTCTGACTCAGAATTACACGTTATGAACTAAATAAATAGTAATAAAGTCACATTTGACTTGCAATTAGTCAAAAAAGAAGAAGAAAAAAAGTCAGAATTGTGAGATAAACTATCATTTAAAAAAGGTATTTGCAATTTTTTTACAATACTTTTTTCTCACAAGAGAAACAGTTTTTATATCGCAATTCAAGGTTTATAACTTTTCATTTCACAGTTCTGACTTTTTACTTGCAGTTATGCGTTTATATCTTGCAATTCTGAGGAAAAAAACTCATAACTGCAAGAAAAAAAAGTCAGAACTGTGAGATAAATCGCAATTACCTTTATTTACCGTATTTTTATTCCGAGGCTGAAACACGCTTCCATAGTATCATGCCAGGTTTAATATATATATAAAAACATTGTGCTAAACATCATCTTTTGTGTTCCTTAGTAGAAAGATTAAGTTATATGGGTTTGGAATGGCATGAGGGTGAGTAAATGATGACTGACTTTTCATTTTGGGTAAACTAATCCTTTAACTTTGTCTCCAAACAGGTCCAAGATAGTTTTGCAATCAAAAACATCATTTAAAGCCTTGATAAATGTCCTAAGTAGACGGGTTCTTCTGTGTGTCTGGGTGGTGGTTCTACCACACCCAATGCTGTGAGCTCAGAGTTTGAAGGGTTAATGATGTTTGTAGAGGCTTACAGAAATACCACAGCTTATGGTCCAACCCAAGCATGACATCTTTGGTTTAAATGCAGCATACAAACGTTCTGGGTTTTAAGAAACATTTAAAAGTGCATGATTGTGCTACTCACCCTTTCATCCACTTCTCTCTCGGGTCATTGTAAACTTCTCCTGATCCTAGTCCTGTTGTGCTTCCAGTGTACGAATTAAATCCTGTTTTAATTTGGCCAAATGGTAAAAACAATGTGAAATCACATGAAATATCAAGAATATCATTTCAAGAGCGATTAGCAAGATAATTGCAAAAGCTGTTGGGCTCTTAATGATGGTGAACTGTGTATGAATTATATATAATATATATTTTAGTGGTGTCAAATTAATTAACCATGACTAATCACATATATATATACACACACACAAACTTTAATGTTAGATGCGATCTATTTATATATATGTATAATTAAAATGTATATATAAATATATTACATCATATATTACCCTAGATCCCCATCATAGACCCTTAAATCTGTTTAATATGAAGATCGTTCAGTTCAACCGCACACTAGCCCAGCAACTTGTGTTCTCCAAACGACTCCACAGACCAGAAGCTGAACAGCGAGAGGAAAGCTTGTTTAGTTAGTATGTGAAGCATTCAAAAGCACACCTGACACAAGGTCTGTGGATCACAGGTCAAAGGTGGAGGTCAAGCACCAGCTGCTTCTAAACTTGTCTGGCGTTGAGGAACGTCTTGTCAGCAAGACGCTCCCCAGCTCCGATACGACTGGCCTTTACTGCGACCCCCACCGCTGACCTACCGTAGGCGTCATCTATAAGGCTCACGTGTCCTTGTGTCTGTCAGGGTGAAGGGGCGGTCCGGATTGACCCGGGGAACGCCAGTTTGCTTCTAAGCAATGATGTGCAAGAGCACCACCGCAATCCAAATGCATGTTGACGGTTTCACTGATTGACTGATAATGGAATGAGTTTGGGCCGGAGGGAGAAAGACACAAACACATTGACTTGTGAACCAAAAAACAAACAAAAAAACAACCTTCTCCACTGGTGACAACCAAGTACTTCAAGA